ATCTACAGGCATCCATCACACCAACAGGTGTCGAGACAGACTTGAAGAGAGCATCAGAGGAGAAGAAGAAGAGAACCCAAGAGTTGCAAGACATGAAAGCCGAGTTGGAGAGGCAATCACTGGCATGCCACAACCCGTCAGTGGCAAGAGACCTCAAATCCTTCATGGATATGAAAGCAAAAGACCATCGGGAGTTCCCGATTCGTGTCGAGTGTTCGCACGACTTGACGTCGAAGCTTACTGTTTTCAAACCACCATGCCAGGAGGACCTGATTGGTCTACCGTCTGGCACCGAGTCACAAGAAACCATGCAAACAACGCAATCATTGAGAGTGGAGTCATGACAACAGACCTTCCACCAGAGATACTCAATGGAGCATTACCACACAAGATGGACATTGTGACAGAACTTTGGTACGAACCAGAAGCAGCACCACCAACACCAGGCACAGCATCAGCTTCAGCATCAGGTATTCGCAGACCACGCGAACCTGAACCACATGGAGAAAAGAGAGAACACGAAGAACAACATGAACCAGCAGGATCACCCACAGCAAAAGCCAGAGTAGATAGAGACAAGAAGAGAAAGGCAGAAGGCGAACATGAAGATGAAGCCGAGAGAACAAGGGACATCCAAAGCATTGAGATGGCTCTAGAAAGCCTAATCCTAGAAGACAGAGAGAGAGAGTGCTGTCTAGCATCGGCCCAGAGAAACCAGTGTGTGAAGAGAAGATCCCACTGCCAGAAGAAATGGCAGAAGAGGCAAAAGACTGGTGGTACTATGATGACATCAGTGGAAAAGAGCTGCTACCTGAGAAGGTAGAGAAAGCCAGAAAAGATGAAATCGACATTGTCGAATCAATGGGAGTTTGGGAAAAGATCCCAAGAAGCAAAGTTCCAAAAGGAACCAAAATCATTGGAACTCGATGGGTAGATGTGAACAAGCAAGATGAAACCAATCCTCTCTACAGAAGTCGATTGGTAGCGCAAGAGATCAAAAGAGGCTCAGGTTTTGACGAATTTTTCGCAGCCATGCCGAGCCTTGCAGCTTTGAAGCTACTGCTAACCATTGCAGTCAGCGACAGCCTTCCATTGGAGAAAGGCGAAAGAAGAAAATCAAAACAATCTTTCCTAGGATTTTTGGATGTGAAGAGAGCTCATTTCTACTCCAAAGCAACAAGAGAACTCTATGTTGAAATTCCATCAGAAGGCAAGAAACCAGAAGATGGAGATGTGGTAGGAAGATTGGTCAGAAGCCTTTACGGCGCCAGAGACGCACCCATGAATTGGGAGCTGACCATTGCAGAGTTTATGAAGAAGCTAGGATTTGTTCAAGGCAAGTCCAATCCATGCATCTACTACCATGCATCCAGAGAACTTCGAACAGAAGTGCATGGAGACGATTTCACGACAGTTGGAAGTTTTGATGATATCAAATGGTTTCACACTTCAGCAGCCAAAGAATGGCAAGTTGTGGAACGAGGCATTCTCGGTCCACCAGGTTCACCAAAGGCAAGCCAACAGATCAGAGTGCTGAATCGCATCATCACCTGGTCAAATGAAGGCATTTGGTGGGAACCAGATCCAAGACATGCAGAGTTGATCATCAAGTGGTTAGGCACTGGTCAACCAGGCAAGGTCAAGACCCCTTTGGCCAAGCCAAGTCAAGAGGAACTCCAACACGAAGAAGTTCCGCTGAGCGCCGAAGATGCAACGATGTATAGATCTATTGCTATGAGAGCCGCGTATTTGGCACAGGATCGACCTGATCTGCAAACTGCAACGCGCTCATTGGCACAAGGTCTACAGAACCCAACATCGAGGCACTGGAATACGCTGAAACGATTGGCTCGATATGTCAGGTATCGACCAAGAGTTGCACAGTTGTTTCCAAATCAAAGCACCTGCAACCCCTTCAACATGTGGTCAGACGCCGACCATGCAGGTTGCATAAGGACACGAAAGAGTGTGTCAGGAGGCGTGCTCATGGCCAACAAATGCTGTCTTACAACATACAGCAAAGGCCAAGGAGTTGTCTCCCTGAGCAGTGGCGAATCCGAGTACTACGGACTTGTTTCAGGAGCATGTCAAATGCTTGGAATCGCATCAACAGCAAGAGACTGGGGATTGTTTCCCAGCAAAGAGGTGACAATGGACGCTTCCGCTGGCATCGCCATGGGAAACCGTCGAGGCTTGGGACGAGCTAAACATGTTGACACTCAGTACCACTGGGTACAAGAGCGTACAGCAAAGAAAGAGTTTCGTCTCAAGAAAGAAGGCACCGACCGAATGTTGGCCGACGTGCTAACGAAAGCTGTCACCGAAGAGAAAATGACTACAGCTATGAAAGGCATGAACTTCCACTACCTGGAAGGTGAGCATGAACTGACTTTGAAAGCGTGAACGGCTTGAGCTAGAGTAGGTACTTCTTCAAGACCAAGATGTACTGAAGGGCTATGGGCTAATTCACTAAAAGTGCTAATCCTGACTCGGTTAACATCTCCCAGAAGTTAAACTCGGGAGGCGTGATCAGATGTAGCACCAGTTACATGTACATGACATAGCTTGTATAGATGTATGTTTCACTGCAGCCGTTTGTTCAAGTTGTGGTTTACTTTTGTGTTCACTTCACTACCAGAGCTCACGCTTGGAGCGGAGCTAAAAGTGTGCCTAAGCTTCTACTACAACCTTTGGGACAGTGACTTGGGGTCACAGAGTTTAAGAGCCTAAATTCTCCGTTCACTTGGAGTCAGAGGGAACCTTTTGGGCCTTTATGCAAGTTTTTTTGCAGGGGATCACGATCACCCACGGATCTGACTGGTGATCCAAGTTCCGTGCTGATATGCCTGATCAGCCAGATGTACCTGCAATTTGTGTTGTGGCCTTTCATCACGATCCTCTCCTGGAGTCTTGCGGGCTGTTTCCAGGTTTGGTGAGGTCGTGATGCAGTAAAGGGCCAATCAATGCATTCTACGGACAAGTGCTCGTCGACCGCTCCGATTCGTGGAGCATTCTTTTGACCTTTTAGCCTTTCCAGATGGCTGGACAGCTTTACTCAGACAGTCTTTTCACTTAGGCTTCTGCTAGGCATGCGGCGACCTTTGAACGTGCTCTTATCTCGAGTGTGTGCACCTTGGAATCATAGCTATGTTCTTTAAAACACCGTTTGTGGTGTTTCCGTACGAAGTTATGCTTAATGAAAAGCGGGCTTAATCACTCCGGTGTACGTGCGACATGTTCATGGTGGTGATACTTGCCAGTTTTGCACTCCTACTATCGTCCTGCAAGGAAGGCTGGCAGTCATGCACCGTTCTGCACTTTGCATTTGTTGGAGTCAGTTGGAACTGCTGGAACTTGGAAACCTTGAAGTTGAGGGCGCTTGGACATGTTCCTGACCTCTCAGGTGTTCCTTTTGACCAAGGTTTGTTAAGGGCATTCAAGTCGTGCGTGCACCAATGTCTCGTGTGTGTTTGTGCTTTGCTCTTGGGATGTCATTGGTTTTCCTTGGTTTGGCTCAGCGTTGTTGCAATACGACCATCTTGGGGGGGAACATTGCTCCAAAGACGTCAAGGCTCGGGGCAGTTCACCGTTTTGTAACTTCAGTTTGGTCTTGATTTGGAGCTCGGTTCAGTTCGCTGCAACTGCACGAGGCATCATGACGTCGATGAACCTGAACAAGAAGACCATCTCAGACCTAGAGGCCATAACAAATGGACGAAACAAAGTCTTCAGATGCTCTAGAATTGGTGCTCATTACATGGCAGGTCAAAGACAAGCGCGTTTTGATGAGAGTGGATTTCAATGTGCCACCTCCTGAAATCCACGACATTGAAGAGAACTGGTTATGCCTTGTTAAATGTGACCATCACGAGCGATATGTATTAAATATATATATATATATTTTTGAGTTGAGTACACCATACAAATATAATGTTCAGTGCAGATTCTGCGGTGTTTGATTGATTCAAGGCCAATGGACAAAGAAGGCAACATTACAAACACTCAGCGAATTGCCGGGGGACCAAAGAATCAACGGTACTGGAGGAGCCTGTACAAGGTCGCAGTTTACTGCAAAAACACGCATTCAGTTGAAGGCAGACTCCCGACAAAAGCGTAAACTGCAGGTCGGAGCCATCCCTAGCATCAAGATGGCCTTGGACAAGGGTGCCAAGAGCGTCATTCTGATGAGTTCGTGCCTCGAATTTTTTGCCACTACGATCAGAGAAACAGTTGATTTGACATGGCCAAAAGGCCACATGGGAAGACCTGATGGCAAACCCAACACCAAGGACTCCAGAAAGCATATGGAAAGTGGTTAGGGTGCCTAGCAGGTTGTAGCATTTGGAAATGCAGATGCTGCGCAGGATTCACTAAAGCCCGTAGCGAAGAAGCTCGAGGACGCTTCAAAAAGATGAAGTCGCAACTTTTGAATTCAGCCAACATTTGAGGATACTAAGTCACTAAGTTCATTAGATGCCTTGAGGGACTGGTTGCGGACATGATGGAACGAAAGCACATGTGTCAAATTCTTGAAACTCCATTAGTAGCAAGAAGCTACTAGGTTGGAGGCCATCGCTATTAGGTCGGAAGCCATCACTATTAGGTTGGAGGCCATTGCTGTTAGTAACAAGAAGCTACTAGGAACAAAGGCATCTTAATGGTCTGGTCCTTCGTCCACCATGTTGGATGGGCGGCGATAGAGGTATCACAGTGTGGTATCACGCTCAGATCATAGGTTACTGTGGCTCATTTTTGACCTGTACTCTGAAATTCATTTTTTTGGGCCAGCTTTTCTGTCTTGAGTTGATCCAACATGTTACATGTTGAAACAAGCCGGTGCTCGTGGAAGCCTTCCAAAGATTTGCAACACATGTCTAATGTCTCCACAACGTCTTCAAGTTTATGCTCCTCTGCGTAACTGGAAAGGTGCACCAGGTTTACAGCAAACTTCTGACATAGGCAGACTGCTTGATTGATGCTAGCACTACCAGTGAGAAATGGACAAGCCATGACCATTGGCCAGTGACCAACATTTTGCCATGGCGTTTCTACAATGCGTCCTTGCAATTGGGGTGATGCTTCGGTGGCAGCAAGCTGTTACACTAGATTCACTAGATGAACAATAGTGAGACATCAGTTTGAATGCTACTCCCAAAGACCAGGAATGAACATTTCAGATGGCTGGGCCGCTAAGGATGCAGGTTGCCAGCATTTTGCCAAGTCCATTGCGGGAGATCCTCCTCTTCTTTATTTGCCTTGGAGTTTTGTGGGGAGGAGCTTTGGTGGAACAGGAGCAACATAGGGGTGTGCTTGGCTGCCACTGTTTGCAGCGTCTTTTCTCAGCATTCCAACCTTCCACACTGTTCTTTGGTACCAAGATTATGCAAAGTGTAAGGCTTCCACAACTGACTAGCGGTGGCACAGTTGACCAGAGGTTTCTTCATCCTTCTTGCAGTTGCAGGCCTCCAAGCTGCCGTCTGATGGCCCTGAGCCGCCTTCTGGTTGGTCCTGGAAACTTCGGGGCAAAGCCAAAAGAGCCGACGGGGAGGAGGAGGCGTGTTCGACAGCCCAGACTCATCATTCAGTCTTGATGCGAAGTGCCAAGATGTACTGAACTTGTGTACTTTCATCATGTCTTTCCTCATGTACTGAGTGTCAGGAAGCGGATGAAGCAGATAGTTTTGAACCAGAAGTGCTGATGCTTGCATCGAAGACTAAGAAAGCGAAGAAGTCATTGGGAGCACCTGGGATAGAAAATACACCGTGCGAGTCTGGCTCGGAACCACATAGTGACCTTATTTGACCTCGCTCTTTGAGTAGCAGACCTGAGGTTGCCTTGGTGCCTGGCAATCCAGGAGTTCCGCACTACTACTGCGAGTTCGGTGAGGAGATACAAAAGGCTTTTGACACCCAAGGTCTTGCATCTCCCACGAGGCTTTTGCTGAAAGTGTCAGCTTTTTCCTGTAGTTTCATGCTGTCAAACAAGTGAGCGAGGACCACGGGGGCTTCTGTCCCGCAATCCTTCCGACCAGCAAATTTACCACCTCCACTGCCGAGTCCCCCCCAATTTTCACTGTTTGCTCCATAGGCTACATGTGACTTCTCTCTATTGTCTCCATCCAAAGTATAGTACAGCAGAACAGAGTCCAGAATAGGCAAAGAGTTGAGGAAGGTAGCACGCCCGATTTATGCAGAGAGCACTGTAGCTTGCTGTACACTGTCTCTCTCTCTCTCTATACCACATGTACTGTTCTGCATGCCATGCACGATTCCTTCCACTCCCCTTTGCTCTACTCCACTCTCGTTCTGGGTCAATTTGCAGTCATTACTCCTTGCGCCTGCATTGAAGGCTGGTTGCTTTTAGTTTGCATCTCAGGATTTACTGCGTTGGCTACAAGAACTTTCCCACATGTGCCGAGGGCGCCGCAGTGAGGCAGAAGTCCTCCCCTGCGTCCCTTGAACAGGACAGTCTAGTAACGTCCTTGCTCCTAGTAGCGATGCCCTTTGCTCCTAGTAGCGTCCTAGCTCTTAGTGGTAAGGCCAGGAGCCCCTAGTAGCGTCCTTGTTCCTAGTAGCGACGCCTAAAGAGGATTTCCAAGCCACACATTGCACCATGAAAGTGTTTGATCGATCCTTATTCAGTGATCTGAAGGAGTCCACAGCGATTGGGGAAGTCCTTGTCCAGCTGCAGGCTCGAGTATGCTCCATTCCACAGCTTCCATTGAAGTTTTTCTCTTTTTTTTTCACAGGACATTTTTAAACATTCTTTGCCTTTCCACAGGAGCTGCACCCTGATGGTTTTGTCATCCTTGGCCACTCTATTGGCGCCTGGATTGTCCTTCAGACTTTGAAGCTGGTGAATGACAGCGCTTCCCCGGTTCCCTTGGCAGTCCTTGCAATGCCGTGCCCTTGTCGAAATTTCAGGCTTTGGGGTTTCCGGCATGTTCTCAAGACTAGTGAATATAAATGGCATGTTTATTCTCAAGCTTGCAAGGAGCAAGACACTTTAGTTCTATTATGAGCTGGAATTTAACTGGTTTTTGCGATTGCTTCGAGGTATTTGGAGTATCGTCCTTTTAGCATGCAGACCTTGATGCGGGTTCCGCTCTCCCTTGCTCGCTTGGTGGCGCTCACTGCCACTGCTTTGCCTTCGAGGCTGAAGGCACTTCTGGCTTTGCCGCTAAGCCACAACCCCAGAGGCCCGCACACTTGAACGTTTTCATTTCTTACAAAGCTATATTCCAAGAAGATTATATCAAAAAGAGCTAACCACAACAATACTGCTTGCTTGCGATGGTGAAACTTCAGATTGAGAGAGTGAAAGTAGGTAAGAAGAACACAAAAGAAGAACAGTCCTACCTACCTTTATTTCTTTTCCTTTTTGTTTTCTTCTCTTTAGAATTCTCAGGCAGCTTGGCATATGACGTGACCTTGAAGACTTTTCTGTGTCAGCCTCACCAGCTCTCTGCTGTTGTTGGCCTCTACCACACAGAGTGCAGTCGGCTTGATCCTGCCAAGCAAGGTGGGGTCGCTTCTCCGGTCAATGTTCGAATTGCCTGATTTGCGAGTGACATTTATGGGCCCCTAGCATTTCCGCCTTGCCTGTAAGGCCAAGGCTTCAGTGAGTGCAAGTCCATTCTGAGCATGGAAGATCGCCCACCGGTTCTTGCTCTCTTCACAAAGGCCAAGCAGTGAACACTAAGCTTCAAAGTGTCAGCATGGACTCAGTTGACAGCTGATTTTTAAGTTTGACAGCAGTTGGCATCAGGGTGACATGTGGGCGCCCATGGAGCACTTTTACAAGCTGAAAGGCCGATGTTGTCCTGTGTGGGCCCGCATTTACAGTGATTCAATGTCAAGCGAGGCCTCTTGTCTGATAGAGATGAGATCGTAGATTTGTCAGCAGACCCCACGATGTGACTTGGAGATGATAAGTGCAACTGCTCCAATCACAATTTGCAGCCTGGTTATTGATGCTACTCGTACATTGAGAAGGGCACTCTTGCAAGGGCACTCTTGCAAAGCTGCTAAACCTCTTGAATTGCATGGTTTGAACGGATTGAACCAGCCAGAACAAAGTCCTGCAAACATCCGAGGAAAGGTCTCAAAGCTCCTTCCCATTCCTTCGTGCTTTCTCGGCAGCACTGCCAAAGCATCGCCGGTCTTGTAGCAGCTTCGATGGCGAAGCGCTGATCGGGACAAAGAATCCCAGCGTTTGCTTAGTCAAAGTTATTCTCCATTATCGTACATTTGCTTTCAATTGTTTCAGGCCTTGGTCCCCTTTGGATCAAGCCCAATTTGTAGTTTGTAGACACATCGATTTCTGTGATCAAAAATGCGTGACCCGATTGACTGATCAAAGGGAAGCTAAGTCTTGTATATTCCTTTGTTAGCAGTGTTCTTCTCTTGCCGTAGGAGCTCATGGGCAAGACAGTGACCTTCCTGGAGGACTGCGTTGGGGAGAAGGCAGCTTCCTCAAGTCAGAATCATGTGAAAGCCCCCTTCCGCCACAAAAATTAATTTTCTCCATGGCCCATGGCGAAAGGCATCCAAAGGCCAGGGTTGCTCGGGAAGTGTCATTGGCAACGTCCATAGATAGATCCCGAATATATAAATGGGATGGGAACGACTCACAATGCAGCTCTGAAGGGTATGCACTTCTGTATATTTTTTGGGGCACTATGCATACATACACACAACGGCGTGCTGCATGTCACTCCACCTCAAATGTGTTGTAAAAGTGGCACTCCAGCTGCAGCCATCACACCTGTGTGATATTGAAGAGCGTGGCTTTCCCTTGCACCCACAAGTTTGGCCTTGGAAACTGCACAGTATAATTTGGAGGCCATTTAGGTTGGAGGACATCGCTATTAGGTTGGAGGCCATTGCTATTAGTTTGGCTTGTCTTCAGACTTTGTGCCCTCATGCACTGTGTTTTCTCCAATCAGAAGTCTTGCGGCACTTAGGTAGAGGCGGCCTGTGCAGATCCAGCACCTGGCTCCGCCCGTGCCCAAGAGAAAGAGGCTTGAAAAGACCGGGAGGCAAGCGTGCTACTGCAATGTTTTCTACAACGGCAGGTTGGGCCCGCTTGGGCTTCAGATGATTAAGCACACCTGAGAGACTAGTTGTACTAAGCAGTCTGACTGGGTTGCATTTTGAATCCTTGGAGATCCTTGGAGATCCTTGGACCATTGGAGATTCGATTCAGTATATATATATACTGTGTCCGCAGCATTTTGGTTTCAAGGGTTGAGGAACTCTGCGCAGGTCTCGTTTCGTTGAGCAAAAGGTTGCTTTTCGATCCCTTGGACTTTGTAACTTGCTTTGCCGAGAACTCAGATTTTTTCGTAGGAACAAGGACGCTACTAGGGGCTCCTGGCCTTACTACTAGGAACAAGGACGCCTTTTTGTGGGTTGCAGTCAGACTGTGAGGACAACATGGCGCTCAACCTGCCACTGGCTGCCTGACCCTCAGAGGAGTTGACCGATCAGGCATGAGGAACATTTGAGTGGCCCGCTTGTCCAAGGGAGGGCACTGACATTGAATACATGTGGACTCGTTGTCATTTCCCTCATTCAACTTCCGCCAAGGACTCATTCCACACTGCTTTGAAGCCTTCTGAGTCTCCCAGAGACAAGCTCAGTGACAATGTATATGTTTCATCAGCCTTCTCCATGAAGATCCAGTGAAGCTTCCCCAAATACCTAGGAACAGGCCAAGCTTTGGAGTTGTTTGGTGGATCTCCGAAACGTCAGCTAAGGAGATCATGACAGCACAGCATTTCCCAGTGAAGCCAGTGCCTCAAGTTTTATACAGATTGCTTTTGCATTGCTTTGAGATTTGCGTTCTTTTGGCTCTGACAGTAAATGTGGATATTGGCATGTCGTGGATCCGTGTGCCAGGCGGCTTCTCGTGTTTGGACGCGCCAAGCCTCGCCAGATACAGATGTGACGCCTGTGGGACGTACTGCCGACTTCCAGCAGTTGAAGGCTGAATGCCCTGGTTTCAAGTCCGTTTCGAACGTTTTGATTGCAACACATCACCAGATGCACCAGATCCACTAAATCAACACCAAGCTAAGTTAATCCAGGCGGCCGTCCTTCGGGCGAAACTGGAGCGCTGCCAAGTTGGCGAGGAAGGAGACCTGGCACGCAATGAAAGGCAATAGAGCTTGCGATGCAAAGACATTGGACGTAGATTGTAAAGTAGGGACAACAGAAACACATATATAGATTGTAAAGTAGTGCCAGTGGGTGCTTCAAGGAACAGACTTGACAGAACTTTACTCGATGCGTTTGTTGAGGGAAGTCGTTTCTCTCTGGATGGCGACTTTGAATCTTAAGGCAGTCCTGTGCCAGGTGAAGAGGACGAGGTGCATCGACTATTGATTTATTTTGAGCCGGGGTAGGCCGTAAAGAGGCTGAGTAGCTGTAGCTAGCTAGTGGTAAGGGGTAAGTGGTAGCAACGAAGCTACTATCTTGGACGCAGAGGAGTTCAGGCTTCTTCCAGAAAGCTCCCTGTCCCTGAGGGTAGGGGGGCTTCCTTGAAGAACTCCTCGCAAGATTGATTGGGTCGATTTTTTGGGATGTACCTTTTTTTACTAGTAGCTTCTAGCTACTAGTAGCGCCAGGAGCTACTGGTAGCTTCTTGTTACTAGTAGTAAGGTGCCTTGTTACTAGTAGCGTCTAAGCCGATTGTCTTCAATGCAAGATCCACATTGAGTGAGAATGACTTCCAACTGCCCGAGTCTGATGGATGTAGGAGGAGTCGGCCGTTGCTATCCATCGTATTGCTATGGCAGCTCGGCGGTATGCCACTGGCTCAGTGAGACTTGACTAAAAGAATATCGACGTGGATGACAAGGTGATTGGACAATTGACACGCGCGCAAGATTGTTCTCAGCCTTGAAACAGTTGATGACATCCTTTGGCGGTTTGATTGTGTTCAAAAGACATGTGGTTCAGCATTTTGGCCTGAATGGTGTGATGCCGCAAGGTTGTCCACTGAAACATATGAAAACAAGAACTTCATTTGGTCATTCGGTGTTGCAGATAAGGTCCAAATCAAGTCGTTCTAGAATTGCTGACTCTTTGAACTTTTTCTTACCCTTCCTGGCCCTTCTCCTCCTTTTTTGGTGGTCTATCCAAGGAGCGATTCAGAAGAAGATGATCCGGATACGGTGCAGAAGCTTTGTTTGGCTGTGCGGCGCCTTGCGCAAAGGCATTGATCTTGAGTCCCGACCCGCCATGGATGACTCTATTTGTTTTCCTAGGGGGCAGGGGATAGGACTGGATAGGACCGGATAGGAGAAGAACACTGATTGGTGAAGATCGTGCAGTGTCCAATCTCCATGGGTGAGCATGATATTGTGGGAGCTGCCCATGTCAGCTTATGTTGGTGTTGAATGTGCCCTTTATATACTTCAATCCACTCGCGAGCAATCTTGATGACTTTCTCTTCCTGGGCAGCCCGTGTACCCAGTTTCCACGTCGCCATTTTGAGCTGGACGTGATTGAAGGCTGCCAGATGCTTGCAAGCCTTTTGTTCTAATTTCAATCTCCAGACTAGTATACAGTATATCATGAGTATTTTTGTTGTTTCATATTGTTCTATTGACAAACCTTACTTCATCGCCAACTCTTGCGGTCACACCTGCACAGAAGTTCTGGAGAAGCAAGTGTGCTCAACGTATCTCAACGTTGCATGTTTGAATGGCGACAAGCTGACTAGATTGAAAGCCGCGTGGTATGCCCAAGAGTTTGAACTACGCAAGGCTTCCAATGGTCAATGCACAGTTTCGCCTTGCAAATTTCAAGTTGGAACTTGGCACCTTGGATACCGCAGTCTTGTAAAATCTTGGCAAGGGCATCATCATATCATTTGTTTTGCATTGTGTGTCTTAGACTTTTGGGCTGCTGGGACCAGGGTTGGTGGCTTGGCTTGATGGATAGCGTAAGGTGTAAGGCCTTCTGAAGCCGTACTATCACATTGTATCAAATTGCAGCTTATGCTTGACCAAAATCATGTAACATTCGCATGAATGATTCCACCGCCACCTTTGCCAAATATGCACTCCCCGAACGGGATTGCAATGCCTGGAAACTGGGTGATTGCAGAATTTGATCTATTCCCCTGCCGAAATTGGTGCCAGTTGTGAGGGTTAAGAGCGCTTGCAGCCTGTGCCAGATACAGAGCCATTTGTTGCAACAAGTACAATAATTTAAGCCTGCAAAGCACGTTTCAGCTTCTCAGCACCAGAAGTTTTGAGGAGATACTTTTCTAGTGGACAAATATGCTAAACAGGGCAGTCCAAGCCTGTCCATCAACAATAGATATTTTCAAGATTACTTATACAAAGAGTATCTAGAAATCTAGAATCTAGAAAGCTGATTGGAACGTGTAGTGGACTCAGCGGGACACCAGTCTGCGTAGCCAGACGGTTTGCCAAAGGCGAGGCTCCTTGAGCCTAAAACTTAAACGCTCCAATGGAGCAACCCTTGCGGTGACACAAAGAAGCTGCAAGAAGCCTTTGTCTCCGTTTGTCTCTTCCCTGTACAGAGCAGAGCAGTTGATTTCAATCCTCTCGGGAGTTCAAGGAAGAGAGGTAGTACCAGGTGCTAAGTGTACTACCAGGTACCAAACACGTGCTTGATTGCAATGGGTGCAGAAAACAGTTTGTCGTGGTGAGAATTATGGCGCCACGTAAATGCCAGATAGTGTTTGCATGTGCCTCCATGATGCAAGAATTTCAGGGCCTATGAACGAGAGGACAACAAGCAGGGACGGAAGTCTAAGTCTAAGGATTAAAAGGACACCCTTCACAGAGGGGTGCAGAAAATAAGCAAAAACAAACCACCCGCCCTTACCTTGCCGGCTCCTTACTGACCTTCCCTCAGGTTTCGTTAGACTCAGACCTTTGACCTTTTAAGAAGACAATGCCTTAGGATGTCTTATATAGGTCTTTGATGCCATTTCTGTTCTTCAAAAATGTAATACAAAAGTACTTATTCCAGTATTTGTTCTATTTCTATCTTTGTTTTCTAGTATTTGTTCTAGATTTCTGTCTAGTTTTGATTTTCTAGTGATATACTATATATTTATATACTTATATTACATATTTAAGCTCTTACTCTTGGTCATTCTGTAAAGCTCTTGCAGCTTCAGGTGATTCTCCTAGAGAACCTTCGCTTCCACATTGAAGAGGAGGCGGCATGGCTTTTTTGGCAGCATCAAAACTAGGTTTCTGGAACATTGCCTACCGGCCCCTTTTCTGTCAGGGCAAGCGGACAGAGAAGGGTGACGATGGTGAGCCTGGTTTGATGAGAGCTTTGCTGG